GAAAATCCTCACTAAATTCTCTTCATTTGTGGACATCTCAATGACATTCCTTCAAGCCGTTAATATCTTTATTTGTGCACTATACGAAGCTTGTGGCATAATCGAAAGTGTTGAACGGCGCCGAGAATTACGTATCAGCAGTGCCTTTCCAATAAACTTCCAGGTAGCTTTTTAAGAATTTTCTTGAGTATAGCTTGAATAGTTTTTTTTCAGCTCAAACTATCCGAGCAAGGCCTCGAAAGTCTAGAACTGCTCTCTTGGGCCTCTCGAGATGCCTCTCCTATGCCTCTTCGCTTGAAAGCAGCAGTGGTACGGCACAGAGTCTCTCTTTGCATTGACCCTCTGTATGACCTGGAATGGATACGGCGTCAATGGCAGAAGTGGTCAGTTTTCTGGTGCTTTCCTGACACCACTCGTGTCAAACGGTGTCACAGCGACCCCATTACGATCCCGCTCCTTTGAGCAGCCCCACACGGCTCGCGGCATTTCAAAATTGCCTGAAGTTGTCAACTAGTTTTGTCAGTTACCCTTTTTTAATTTAACAGACAAGTGATCCACAGATAAACTATCTTTCAATATGAGCTTTAATGAGTGGTCTTCTATCATGTAGAAATAGCCTAGCATATTACTTACTTAGATGTGGCCTGTGTCCACACGTCGGGCCGTCCTTAATATCTCTCAGTTTCTGTTTCTCGCTAGCTTCATCTACGATTGGTTTTGAGTTGTGATGGCAAAGTTCGCCTATCTAGTCATTAGGCGTTTTTAGTTCTCCATGGTCTGCCGCACTCATTATGCACATTTTGCTGTGAAGGCGTAATTCGCTGGATCTGTTCTCTTATCCAAGTGCGAAGTCGACGAGATGTTGGCAATGATTTGGTTTCAAATTCTTCTAGCGGCTGTTCAGAAAATCTGAAGTTGCCATAGTGAAGCCTGGTCTTTGTGGCGTAACTGCAAGATATTCAAAGCAAATAGTTGAACCTCAAGAACTGCGTCTGTCAGCTGTTTGACTTCTTTTAGAGGTCCGAAATCTGCCCAAGCTGTTCTGTGCCTCTGTTGCTTCCTTTAAATTTCTCTATTTTTCTGTTCATCGAATGCCAAAGATATACGTAGGATTGTCTGCGCGATTGGGAAGTTATCTACTTCCATTTTGTAATCGTCGCAGACATTCT